GGCACCGCACAAGCTGTGCAACAGAATAACAACGGCAGACGGGGAGGCGAGACGCTTGCAGCGTTGAACAGTCGAACGGCGCCATAGACTGACGATTTCCACAAACTAACTGGGGGTTTGGATCTAGGAGGGGGTTTATATAGGGAAAATTAGTGGAGGGAAAAGGAGGGCAAGTTAGTTGATGAGTAGGAAGGTAGACAGTATAGAAACATTTAGAATTTGGTGGAATTGTTAGAAGTTAGCAAGAGGGGGAAAGGAGTTCGAAGTATTAGGAATTAGTAGGAGGAGGGAAATGGCATAATTATAGGGTTACACATGACTTTCATCGCCTCTAATTCGGCGTAAAAAATAACAAGCAAGTCCTCTGGTAATTTTTACCTGGCAGCTTTGACCGAGCATGAATCGGGATTTTAAAGTCGAATATGACTTTAAAAAACAAACTAACTTTCCAAGAAATTATCTTGATTCCTGTTTGCAAAATATTACGGACGAAAATACTTCCGCCCCATGTGCCCCAATGTTTCATTCTCAATGAAAAGTGCAAGCAACTCGAAAGTTATTTAATGATGGCATTCTTTCCTGACTGCAGCTATCTTCTGATAAAGTTAGTAACCAAATTAGCGTCTTCTAGAATCGCTAAAAGATCAGATGAAAGCGGATTGCACCACTTAGTGATCTATCCCTCAAAGACGAATTTTTCCGGTGTTGAATTCGCAGTACTAATTCAGTGTGGAAGAGAAGAAGTCATCCTTTGCCATCATGTGCTGATAGTTTATCGTCGAATCCAACTGGCTGAGATAGGCTCAGCTGCAGACTGGAAAAATTAAGCAGGGATACAAACGCAGTCGACGAAGAATGTGATTTTAGCAGGAAATCCGGAAAAAATGGACAAATAGCATACAGCATTTTCATCCTCTGCATCTGCACCATTTTCGAGCAAAATTTTGACAATCTTTTCGTGACCACCAGCAGCTGCCATGTGTAGTGTTGTTGCTTCCATTGTTTTTGTTTTC